AGTAACACTGTAATGGTTGCTATAACTTGTAACCCTGTATACTGTAATAGAATACAGCAACTGTATGCAGCACAGCATTACTGTATGGTAAAACCTCAAACACTGGGAAGAGTCCGCCCCTAACAGCAGAAAATGATCACAAACCAGTCATCAGGCAAGTGGACAAAAAGGTATGTTAGGTGGACAAGAAGGTGGGTGGTTAGGTGGGTCACGCACTACTAGCCCACCTATACTAGTTCAGTCCGCCTTAATCCAATTCTCGTTTATTAATACTTCAGTACGTCGATAGCCTCATGAGGTAACCGCCCCGGGGCGGTGCTATTGACGGAACTCCAAAAAAAATACAGTTGGTGGGTGGGTGTGTGATGGGCAAGCACGTCCTGGCATGCCACACGTTACCACTGTAGACTAAATTATGAATGACAACCTATCAACACAAGTGTCATACTTTACAATTGTTTGAAGTTTCCTGCAGAAGCAGTCAGTCGTTCCCTTCATCCTGTGAGTGATAGTTTATTGTGGCTCTATACTGGTCCTGTGAGCGGTAGCGTAGCAAAATTGTTTAATATTAAGTTCAAGTTTTTGGGCAGCGCCACTCATCCTGTGAGTGGACATACCACCATAGTAGCATGTACAACACTCCCCAATAGAAAGAAAACCCGCTGGGTTGTTCATCCTGTCACTTGTACTCAGACACAGCTGGGACTTGTTTAACTGTCCCCAGTGAATAGCTTATCAAACAAGAAGATTAACATTTGTCAACCTTTAAAAATTTATGTTTTCTTGCGGGTGCAAAATGGAGGATACTTTTGAGAACAGCATTTATATTTGACAGATAGTATTTTCCTAATTCAAACAATGTGGAGTTTATTACGCTACACACATTTCTAATGTCTCTTAGATGTTCCCATTCTCTCAGATAGTGGTCAAGGCGGTGTTCGTCACTCTCACCACAAATTTTGCAACTCTGCTGCTCAGCTGTTGTTTCCATCCCGAATCTCCATGGATATTAATATCCAAGACGGATTCTTAGTATTACTGATTCTCACCCGCGGCCACCTCCTCTTCGTCCATAATGACTGGGATTGCCAGCTGAAACCATGTTGTACCACCGTACAGATTCACTGGTTTGTGCTTCTATTCTCCTTTCTTCAGTTACCTTGTCACGGTGATTTTGCCTGATAATACCTCTAATTTGTAGCAGAGTCTTGGGTATGAAGTATTTAATATGGTCTCCTTCAGCGCCCTCAGCACATCTGCTCGTTCATTTCCGCAGATTCCAACATGGGAGGGGATCCATAGGAATTTGACTACTCTTCCCTGACTGGTTAGCACCCTAATATTGTTAGTGTCAAATACTGTTACAACTTTCAAATACACTTATATATAAAAAATATATATATAATTACACTGAAGGTAACCTAACCACAGTGAGCAGCGCAATTTTCATGTGCAAGATTACACCATTATGTTCCCAGTTACGACAGTTATGTATTCCTCTGCATTACTTTATACTTTTTCATAGTGGAAGGTGACAGAGCCGGGCTACATCATGCATTTAAGTCACTTACGAAACCTGTACAGCTTTCCTCAATCACGAGTGCTTTGTTTACATCTATTTAGCACTTTGTGAGCTCCGAAGCACAAAGAGGTTGCTTATGACGATAATAACCTTGGTCAGGAGACATCAAGCACTTAAAAGTGTCACTTACGACACCTGTGTATGTACAAATACACCTATTTGGACAAAGCCGCCGCAACAAAGACACCCACAGCAACAAAGCACACCTACACAACAAAGATATTCAGATAAACACTCTATCAACAAAGGCATACACAGTGACAAAGGTCAACCCCACCACCACAACCTTCCAACACAACCCACCACCACCACAACCCACCACCACAACCCATCAATACCAAAACAATAGACACACAACCAACGACGCCTTCTCCCCTCTCTCTCCTTCCATTGCCAATCCGCACTATATCGTTTGACAGCAAATATAAACTATATATATCTTATCCGTATCTTAAGCGTTTGTACCGACGACTACCCTTAAGAGCACGCAAGAAAATGGAAGCTTTCCAAGCTGCAAGATTAGCCACCAAGAGGCAACAAGAGAAGCAACAGGGAGCCAGCAGTAACAAGAAAGGCAACAGGAAAAACAATATCAAGAAGCAACAGAACGAATAATTACAAAAGCAACAGGGAAAAATAGAGAGAGGAAACAGAAAAAAAATAACATTAGGCAACCGGAAGAACAATAAGGAGAGGTAACAGGAGGAACAATAAGGAGATGCAACAGGAAGAATAACAATGAGAGGTAACGGGAAGAACAATAAGGAGAGAGAACAGGAGAATAACAACATGGGTCAACAATTTTTCAAAAGTTCTCTCCCGAGATGAAAAAAAGAGTGGCTTATCATGCATTCTGACGCGCTGAATTCAATTATAACAATTAAAATTACTGATAAGCTAATGTTTTTTGTGTGCGCGGGTGGTGGGAAATCCTGCTTGATACAACAAGTGATTTTTTATTATTATTATTTTGTTCCACAAACGTGGCCACACATTTACGATGCTAACCAGCATATATATATATATACATTTTCTTCTGTCCTCCAAGGACAGGGTTAGAGATCAGTTAAACATAATTTAATGATTTATTGAACAATCAACAACAGAAGGTGATTGTATGCTTTTAAAATGCTAATCTAATCTAAAAACGTAAACACACAGATTTACGTCTGTGGATGGCAAGCGTTTTTCACCGAGGCTCCAGGGGGGGGAGGGGGGTAGAAATAGCCTAAGCTACTCTATCCCTTTGAGATGTATTTCTTTCTTAGCTCAATGAACCTACTTGAACCGTGGCTCCATCGGTGGAGTGGCCATGATGATGTCTCACAGCATAGTGGCATTAATCTCTCACACGACTATCCCACTCACAAAGACAACAGCAGTACAGGGTGTACCCGCCCTACACAACCACCACCACACCAACAACAGCAGTACAGGGTGTACCCGCCCTACACAACCACCAAACACCAACAACATGCAAGTAGCCAGCACAGAGCTGCCACTCATGTTGGTCATCGTTTATGCATCCTAAAAGCTGTTTCATGTTGTCATGTTTCCTTCACATGGGCTGCATAACCCAATGAAATCAATGGCAAAATACTCCCATCGTGCAGCAAAACGGCTTTAGGACTCGTCATGAAGGAGAACTAGAGCTAATAAATTTGTTTAACAAGAGCTAAAGATTTTTGTTAATATTTCCGTCCTATATGTCACCCAGAATTAGTCAAAATTGACCTTTTTTCAGAAACATTTTTGCTGTAGATCTGTGTAACGAGAGGCTACAGGAAGAAATAACAAGAGGGTCAATGGGAAGAACAGTTAGAACAATAACAAGAGGGTCCACGTAAGAACAATAACAAGAGGGGTCAACGTGAAGATCAATAACAAGAGAAACCACAGAACACCTCCCAAGGTGAGCGAGGCAGGTGTGTAAGTGACAGGGTGAGGTATGTAAACACCTGACTGGTGGTGGGGGTTGTGGGAGCGAAGCTGTGGGGGGTGAGGTGGGTTCTTGGGTGATGTGGGAGGGGTTTATGTGGTGTTGGGTGTTGTGGGTGGCTACTCAAGTTGTCACCGGTAACACCAGGCTTTCATCTATCAACAGACTCATGCTGGAACTGCCCTTCGTCAAGAACATCACTCCATCAGCGATCATTCATTCCTAGGCTGACTCCCAGCTGGAACTTGTTCACTCAACCGGCTGATACACGGGAGATCAGGTCAACTGATCTCTGTGATAACTGATCACTGTGATAACTGATCAGGTCAACTGATCTCTGTGATAACTGATCACATGAAGGCTCTGGCACACAGCTGGCTGCGGGCTCATCCTGTTCCGTATATGATTGTTACTTAGATATTAATAAAGATCATTCCCCTTATGAAAATCCTAAAGATATTATTTAGTCAAATTTAATTTATTGTTTGTATTGAGGCAGGTAATTTCTCTCCTGATTCCATGTATGACTAACCATCCTGTAAGATGGGAATATTAGATGAAGTTATAGGTAATTTCTTTATGTACACTGTGTAATCTTTCATACAGAATATGGTAGCAGCATATTGCTGTATATACATAAGCTTGCTAAGACAACAAAAAACTTATTAAAACAAAACAATCTAGGGGCAGGCTTCAGATGACTTTTTTTTTATTAATAAGCTTAGGTATACACACTAGTGTGCTACGACCCTATTCTATATGAAAGATTACAATGCGTAGATAAGAAAACTAGCCAAAAGTTCAGATGAGCTGAGGTAGGATAACAGCTCTTGCTTGCAGTTTCACTATGTACTTCAATTGAAAGCAATAATGAATCCGTCTTAGTTTAAAATAAAAAGAAAGTAGAGAAAAAAATTAGAAAGAGGAAAACGAGGAAAAAATCAATAAAAGGAAAGAGGAAAAGAGAATGGGAAAGTCAAGAGAAGGAAAAAGCGAGAGAAAAATTAAAAGGACAGAAAGAGCGAGAGAGAGAGAGAGAGAGAGAGAGAGAGAGAGAGAGAGAGAGAGAGAGAGAGAGAGAGAGAGAGAGAGAGAGAGAGAGAGAGAAGAGCGAGAGCGAGAGAGAAAGAGCGAGAGCGAGAGAGAGAGCGAGAGCAGAGAGAGAGAGCAAGAGAGAGAGAGAGCTCTATAGAGAGAGAGAGAGCAAGAGAGAGAGAGAGAGCAAGAGAGAGAGAGAGAGCAAGAGAGAGAGAGAGAGCAAGAGAGAGAGAGAGAGCAAGAGAGAGAGAGAGAGCAAGAGAGAGAGAGAGAGCAAGAGAGAGAGAGAGAGCAAGAGAGAGAGAGAGAGCAAGAGAGAGAGAGAGAGAGAGACAGGTAGTCTGCGAGAGTAAGAGCATTGCTGACTCGAATTTCACTGAACCATCATTCAATATCCTGATTAACCTACTCTGTGTTAACAACAGGTAAGGCGGGTCTCACCTGGAGGTGGCGTCGGGTGGAGGCGAGGCAGGCCAAGCACTCCACTACTCCAGGGGCCTCCACCACACACCCTTGTATACAACCTCAACCACTCTCTAAACATATCACATTCCACCACTACGAACTCGAACAAATCACTCGATGTCTCTAATGATCAATTTAACACAGACACCACACTAGCGGGTCCTTAAAATGGTGTTTAAATCAGAGATTCGTCACTTCTGGAGCAAGCCGTCAAGCATCCTCCCACGAACTCGTCTGAAATAAGACTGACTGTTGTAGTTTGAGCTCCATCAGCTGCTTCTGGGATGCCATGTAGTCGCTTTAACTTGCTTCTCTACACTATATACCACATCAAAATCAACGATAACAACACCGTTTTATGATCATTATTATTTAACTTTGGGTTCAAGTTTTTAAATTTATGAATACGTGGGTTATTTATGTAAACAACTAAAGTAATTAATAGTGACTTGATAACTACGTGTCGTTCACTTCCCCCTACGCTTGTAAACTTTACCTGGTCGTCATGACAACAGATATAACAGGGACGTAAGCCCAGCCTCATAAAAATGTAATAAATACTGAATTCTTGCTCAGCCAAACAGAAATAAATATATATCAAACCAAATGTTGATGATGCGTATGTATACGATGCAAAACAACGATTAGGGAAGCATATGGAATAGAAATAGGAGTATATTGGGGGAGGGACAATGAATTAATGGGGGAATTGGGATCTTGGTGCTTGGGGTCGTGGGGTTGGGGTCGTGGGGTGGGGGTCGCTGGGTGGGGGGTCACTCGTTGGGGGTGGGGGGAGCCCCAGCCACGACTAACGGGTCTTGACTGGTCGACCCCGCTATACTAGTCCCCGACCTCGCTACACTCATCTCACAGCTGATGCACATCCCACAAAAGAAAAATGTTAACATACCGAACCATTTAAATATATATAACAAATATCTTGTCACAAATATGTAACTAATTAGCAACCTTGCTAGAATGAACTAATATATATTTTTTATGTTTTATTAACAAGCTTAGGTATGCACAGCATTGTGCTGCTACCCTATTCTATATGGAAGATTACACAGTGTAGATCAAAAACTAGGTATAAGTTCATCTAATATTCCCATCTCACAGGATGGTTAGTCACACATGGCATCTGGGAAGAAAATACCAGCCTCAATACAAAAACAAATCCCCTGATTAAACAACAACTTCACGAATTTCACAAGAGCTAAACACTGAATCATGGAAACATTATATTATAATTACTCTTACCAATGACCAGAACTCACGCAGCCCGTAATATTACTAATCATAATAATAATAATAATAATATTGAAATTGACCATTCAACAGAATATGAAAACATGTACTCACCTAGTAACATGTCCACAAGCATCAGTGTGTGTGTGTGAATGCTGCACAGTATTCATCTGCAGGCATATATATTAAAATACATGTGAAGAACCTTATTCTTACACACAGCTCCCTGACAAACGAAAGTAAGATTAGCTTAGTTGTCAACTCACACAAGTCAACCCGTCCTCTTAAAAATAACGTCGCTTTTCGCTCGAACAGCAAGACGGACAGTCCGCCTGCGATCATAACTCCCACTATACCCTGATAATAGAGACCTAGGGAGGTCTCTATTATCATTCATTCATTCATTGGCGTAGGGAGACTTCGATAAGCCTATCAGGTTTCTTGTCTCCGACATTGGGAAACCAAAATTGTATGTTTCAGTTTCCCCCTTCAGTTGTGCCTCTTAATACATCGTTTTCTGACGAGAGACAGGAACTGGAGAAAACGAAAATTAGAAACATACAGTACCAGTAATCTTAAAGTAACATTTTTATTTATTTTAAATCAAATCAAATCAATTCAAATGTTTATTCAGGTAAAAGTACATATATAGAGGATTAGTTACAAACATAATGTTGGATTTATAGATAGAGTTAGTATATACAATACCTAAAGCCACTAGTACACAGAGCGTTTTGGGCATTTATTTATTCCATTTATTTATTTACAGTATTTATTAATTTTTCATATACAAGAAAGTATATCGGCTTGTTAGAGTACATACATTGATGATCGTTACATTCTTGCAAAGCCACAAACACGCATAGCGTGTTAGTAGTTACATATTTACTTACATATACAGGAATTTACCTGTGGACTAGAACCATCTCTTGTAATCTTGAAGGGTACAGGAAGTCGAAGGCTTGTCAAAGTTCTCACCACTCTTTCTGAGGATTTTTTTTACGTCTTAGAATTTACGGCTTTGGCGGGTAGGCAGTTCCATGCGTTCATATCCTTAAGGGTGAAAAAAGCTCTTATTTTCTGCTCTACGCAGCGGCTTGCTGAGTTTGAAATTGATGCCTCTTGTGCGAGTTACATTGTAGCTTGGAGCTGTTGTCCCTTGTTTGCATTACATTTGACCTTGTAAACAAGTGGTCATGATTAATGTCCTCCAACTTGTTTAGTATTTTAAAGATCTTGATTAGATCAGCCTTGTCTGATCAGCCTGATTAAATAAATTTTATATTCTGGCACAGCCATTAACATGCATACCGGTTCGAGCTCAATATACTGTGTATATAATAAAGAGGGAACTTTGACAAACTGCCGGCTTCCTGTCTTCGTCGAGGCCACTGGAGATGGTGGCCCTCAAAGCTTCCTGTCCCTGTCGAGGCCACTGGAGAAGGTGGCCCTCAGGTGAATTCAGATAAATATAACAGAAAGCTTATAGTGTATAGACTAAAACAACAATTAATAGTAAAGGAGGTAACGAGGATAATTAAAGATCATAAGAACAATGGAAATTGCAGAAGGCCTTTTTTGGGGGGGAGCCCACACGAGACAGTTCCTATTTATATCCACCCAAACTCACACATAAATGTAAGCACTTACATTTAATGTAAGAATGTATTTACAGAATGTAAATGTGCATGTAAGCACATAAAGAAATGTTTTCCATGTAAGTTAAATCAAATAAAATAAATTACTTATAACAAAGATCAAAGAAAACAAGGGAGCCTCTGAAAACTGTCAAAGAAAACGATCAAGCTACAGGAGAGTTTCTAGGAAAACGATAGAACCATTGAAAACTGTCAAAGAAAACCACAAATTTCTACTTCAGAACGAAATATTATACTTAATTACTTAATTTTCTATCAATAGATGGCGCGATTAATGGTGACATTTGGCAATTATTAAAGCCACCTTATTTAAAGTTACTTTATGCAAAGCTTTCCTATCTTAATTTTATTAATCTTGATCTGTTTGGCGAGAATTAGACCAGTCAGATATCACTTGAGTGTTTCAGAGTCGCAACGTGGTTAAGTAGAGTTAGGCGCAATAGTTCTCTTGGAAGTTCAAACACTAATCTCGTCAACTGAAGGAGTCGGACGCGGGGACGGTGTTAAGATCGAGGTGAGTGACATAACTTTATGCTAGTTAAATATGGTAATTGAAATATGTCTTATAAAGATAACACTCTGGGTTTAACTTCCCATTAGGACCACTAGACATGGTTGTCGGTGACTTTTTGTCCCAGTAGAGGCGAAGAGAAATGGTGGTCAATGGTAAATAAGTGCTATGGTTGAGAGAATTAAGTGGAAACCAATATTTTGGACACTTGAAGTGTCCTCTTCCTGGACCCTAGTTGGGGCTGAGGGCACCAAAGGCATTTCGGGTGGATTTAAAGATGTCAACGGGGACTTCCGTTTGATAAATGGTCATTTGTGTAGGTTTGAATAAACGGAATTTATCATCTTTACGTGATAAATGATCTGAAATTTACATAACCTGCAGTTTTAATCACTTAACGTCGAATCGCTAGTTTAGTATTTTGTAGCTAATTTATATATACAAACGTAGTTTTGTCTTTCGGAAGACAAACGATAAACTTCAACCTACTGAGAACTCTAAAAGGTACCATTGACTGGGACACGCCATACTGTAGTGTTACAAGGAATATCTTCCTTTTTAAAGTTTACTTTCTCTTGTAAATCTAAAGAGCTTCCATCAAAATGTTATTTAACGTAAAGAACTTCCATTTGAAAGAAAAGTTAGTGTATTTCGCTCGCATTTACCCAGACGGTGGCGGACGAGGATCGCCTCAGAATAGACTTGTCACTCGTGGCCCAATGCTCTTTAAATAAAGCTTTACCACTGATAACCATTTCAAAGCATAGGTATTGTATTCAACAATTTAGTTGGAATTTCTTGTGTATTGACTTCAGCTCCAACGTAGTCACCATCCACCCATCCGACGCCTCTTGATCGGCGACCCAGATATCAACATGGCGGCAGCGCAAAACTTTCCCCGGAGTAAGAAAAGGTACTAATACTTATTTCTTTTGTTTGTTAGTTTTTCGGATTTTTATCTGCAGATTTGGGTTGTTGAACACGGTAGTATTTGAGCAATTTTGTGGTATCGCACCCGCGTTTCCTAATGGGTCGCATCGCCGACGGGAATCTAGACCAGAAAGAAGAGAAATGTTGGTGTCTGGGGACTGAAGGATGGGAGGGTTGGATCGCACTGTACGGCTTCAAGATTCAAAGATGCATCGCGTTCCCGAGATTACATTATATAACGTACCTAGTTCATACATGAACCTACAGGATGAGGGAATCTGCAAAAGGCCTAGACGATGGTTTAACTATAGTACATTGTCTATTGCCTCCATTTTTTTCTCATTTTGGTAAGCTCTTTAAAAATTATTACAGTACAACTTTATTTTATTCCCTTAATCATTTGAGATTGGATGATTTTCTAAATCATTAATTGGAATTCATTACGTCCTGTTTGCTTAATTACACTAATTGAATATAAAGGTTCCCTTTGCTTCTTGTATTCGTCTAGACACTTAAAGATCTATCTGATCCTAGAGCTTCTTTGGTAATTGCATTAATAAAACTTTCACTTGAGAATGCTACTCGGCCATTTGTGTAGTATTAAACTACAAAGGCTTAGTTTCGGAAGGTTTTTCTGTATAGCCAAATGATTGAATTTTAGAAGATGACTCCAAATTACGATTTGTCCTGTCACCCCGCTGGTTTGATGCACAAAACCCTTGCTGCCATTTGTTTAGCTTTCCATATTCTAGTTTCGTAATTTTTTGTTCCGGATAAAACTTTTAAATCATTCCTACTCTTAATTGCTCTATTTATGAGCTGATAGACATTTAACTTGTGGCTTAGTTATCACAACTTCTGTAAGTTATACAAAGTACTGGTAAATTTGGAAAATCTAGGTTAATTTTTAAATTCTAAAGCGGCTGTATTGGTTTTTCTAGACCTAGACAACCTTTCTATTAAAATACTTTCAGCCCCGCATGCAGAAGTGAAAAGGGAGCAACCTCGACTCCTGGAAGAAGCCAAAATAAAGAACACACATTTCAGGAACCTATGGACATAGCGGTAAGTTGTTACCTTTTAAGGTAAATTTGGCGTAACTTCTAAACAGGGTTGGTACCCGGCGCTTCACAGGTAAATTAGATCTGTCCATGTGTGTACGTTCTTTAAAGCCCAAAACCAATTAAAGTTTAAAAGTCTTGGTGTCACTTTCTAAGAAGTAGTTTTGGAAACTTATGAAAGGTAATATTTTAAAGCGAACCCGTATACTCTCTCCTCGGTTAATATCCAAGCGTCTTATTGTTCGATTTGATATTCCTTGTCAGTGTTTTAAAACTAGCTAATCTAGTAACTTTTGCTTTAAAAACATTTGTAAGAGTTAATGGGGAAGGTGTAATGGGAGGAGGATATTCTTTTAATTTATTAACAGAAATGGTCATAATTAAATTTAATGTCCTGATTTATTTTTCAGGATCGGTCGACGCCTGGAAGTGCTAATCTAACTTTCCGAAAAGACTCTGAAGACTCCATGAGTTGTTCGTCGGACATATCGGTGGTGTGTGGCCTCTCGGACACCTCGTCGTCGTCTCTTCTGCACAGCACAAGGAAGAGAACTAAAAAATTCACGACATTTGAGCCGTTTAGCTTTGATTCCAGAGAACATAAGAAACTATTGGAGAAACAAGATAAAAGTAAAGAGGTAATGTTTTAAGTATTAATATTTAGAAAAGTGGTGAACTTTAATTCTTGGCACTTTTTTTAAGGTTAATCTGTAGCCTAGGACTTCATGTAGGTTACTTAGTAGTCAGACCAAACTACCACTTAACTTAATCTTTGCTCGTTAAGTAAACATCCCAAATTTAAGTTTGTGTGCGCCACAGGATACGTAAAAACCAGTACAGGTGATAGAAATTTTGACTAACTTTGTTACACCTGGTCTCGTTCGGGGACATGCCTTTTTTTTTTTTTTTTTTTTTTTTTTTTTTTTTTTTAAGAAATCGCGAGGGCTGATTAAATCAATGGAGTAGGATAAGGATTAGAATTGGGGGCGAGCCCTGGATCTCAAAGACGCTCAATGGATTAAGACGCTCTTTTGGGGTCACTCGCCATGCTAAGAGATTAGTCCTATTTAAGTTTGTTAAAACACATCAACCCTCTTAAAATGTTTCCGCCGCCTTTACTAAGCAGATTGACAGGCTTCAACCTACAACTATTGCGAAATTCCCGGGCACCTACAGTTGCTTAAAGGTGAACAGATGTACCGGGTGAGACGCAAGGCAAATTTGACAACCAGAGTCCTTAAATTGAAGGAATTGTTACAAACGCTACTTCAATGTATACTAGTTTCCTACGAAAATTTATTTAAAGTTCTCTTTTTAGGTCGTGAAGAAAGAAGAGATTCCCAAATTCCGTGCTCGGCCGATGCCAAAATATCCCTTTACAAGAAGAGCTAGTTCGCCTGCGAGGAGAAAGGTATGTGTACGTTCAAATTTTTTGCACAATTTCTTGCTGAATTAAGTCTTTCCACTCTACCTAAAGTGGACTTGAAATCCTAGCCTTCCTTTCTTAATTGGAAATTTGTTTCGGAAACTTCCCAAATTTTGTAAATTAGACCTTGCTCCTGAATTAAACCTAATAACATCGCGTATCGTGTAAAATTGAAAATAATTGCCTCACCTTGGCCATAGAGGCCTATGAATAGGCAACGTACATGTTAGATATATATATGCTTTAAATTTCAGGAAGAATGAAGCGGTTATAGATTTGGCAAAATTTAACGGCACAAGACCACAGAAGCCTTCAACTGTTTCAACTCTCTACCGCCAGGTCATCATAAGAGAGAGAATTGCCAATTTGGCCTTCGGAAATCGTCAGTTCAGTTTCCGAAAATTTAATTTGTTAAATTGGTTAATGGTTTTTAAAGAATTTATGCAGATTGGTCCTCAATGTTTTGGGCTCTTTTCGTTGACAAGTTTCGAATAATTTAGCCAAATAGGCTGAAACATTTGTAATTTTAATACATTAAAACTAAAGGTTCAAAGATTTTTTAAAGTTTTAGTTTCTGGCATAAATAGGTATTCAGAATTGAAGTTTTATTCCATAATGTTTGACTTCTTATTTATAAGTGCTAAATATACTGAAATTATTCTTTAAGCTTGGAACAGTACCTCAAAATTTTAAATTGGCAGTTTGTGTATCCTAATAAACATTGTCATAAGTTTTAAAAAAAAATGACATGGATGTTGTACAAGGTGAACATTGATTTTTTATTACTAAATATGTACGTTATATTGCAAAGGGTAAAGTACAGAAAATTAAATGTTGAAGTGATTTTATTCCAAATTTCACTCTTTAATGTGATTAAATTTTAAATTCTTATAGCCTGTTTTATTCCACTGACTTAATTAGCACATTTCTTTTTCTTATGATAGTCTTGGGGGGGGGGGGATGTGTAGTGTTTCGGAGCGCGTAAAATCCTTCACATTTAATTAGCCTCTGATAAGAGGCCTTAACATCCTCCCCGGGAGGAATGGGTTTGGGCAACTGAGCATTAAGTTTGAGCAAAGTTGGCAACTTTATTTCACGTTAAAATGGTTATAATCAACTTGGTAGTTTATGCCACACAACCTAACCCATGGTCCTGGGGGGCTTCTGGTATCTCGTCTATTCAGGGGGGGGGGTGATAACAGACTTCGACTAAGAGTAGCAGACTGAATCCATCCCTGGATTATTAATTTTTAATAGAGGGTCACTAACGCCTCTTAAGAAGATAGGAAGCGGGCGGCTTGTCGGTTTCCCCTCCCTCTCAAATAGTCTTTATATTAAGTTATCTTGTTACCATTTTTAGCATTTTTAAGGACTCTCCGGGTAGACGGTTCCACGGGTTTATAATCCTTTGGGGTGAAAAAGCGGCTAGTGTTTTCAGTCCTACATTGTGACTAGAGCTTGCTTGAAATCGTTAGTCATTGTTTACTAACTTTTTGAAGAAATTCGGGCTCAAAATTTTTCGGTATTTTTAAAGGTTTCGAAGAGATCCGCTCTCTACTTGGATACAATCCCAAGTGATGGGTGCACTACAATCACAAGTGCACCAGATGATTACAGTTGAATTATTACCTTTTACTTGGTCAAATGTGGCTATTCCTAGTTTTTTATACTGCTGCTCCTACCTGTTCAACTTTCAGTAAATGGGTTTTACTTTGGTAATGACATCCTGATTAATACGTAAACCATTTTGAATATACCACAACACACGATCATGCCTAGTCTTTGTTTTTCTGATCATTTTGACCAGTTCCCGGTTTCTATTCAAAGTTTTCTTACACTTGGTCGGTCTCTGCCACCCAACTATGAAAAGCTCTGCCATTTCTCCCTGTACCATGGCATCAAATTATAGGTTATGAGTTTGTTCCAGAGGCCTCTTGGTCAGTAGGATTCAGAACTTGTATGTATCGGGGCATGAATAAATATATTACAGCTTATTTAGATTACATGAAATCCCACTTATATTTTATACTCTAGAGAAAGTTACATCTTGGAGTAGCAGTTTGGTAGGGAGGTGCACTTTTCTCGGTTAACACTACTTGCTTCGATGCGATTAAAAACGCTCAAGTTCTTTACTTGAGGAATTTCCCCTCAATGTGCTGCAGCCCGTCCTCGTTAACTATGGCCAAAAGCTTTAAAATATATAAAACACGACTGAACTTGACTACGTTCGAACCAATGTTAGCTCGTTTTGTTTGAATCCCTTCCTAAATGCTTCGCCACACGTGCAGCAAACAATTGCCAACATAACTTAATTTGGTTTGCACTATGCTAGGCTTTGCTACATAAATTGAAGTATATTGTTTTAAAGTCCTTTTTCTCAAATGGAGAATTTGACGAATGAGTTTAGTGCTGGACACTGCTCGGATGAGTATAGAAGAGTATTCAGCGAATTAATGATCAAACGAGACTGGACTATGGTATTTCTGACATAGATGCTGCTAACGATGCAAACTACCTTTTCGCTAGAGGCTTCTTTTCTGTAGGCAGACCAAGATGCAGTCAGGCCTGAATTCATGCTAGATTAGGCACTGAATTTGCAAAGAAACATTTCGGCCAGTTTCTTTCCCCGCAACTTTCCCCAAACTAAAATCTTGACCCCAAATAACATGCATAGAGGCAGTTCTTTTGATAATTCGAGGCACAGAAAATGAATACAACGACGACGACGGTTTAATTTACATGAACAGATAGCTATTTTAACGGATTTCAAATTTTTATTCGGGTAAAAGTACATACATAGATGAGTTACAAACATAATGTTGGATTTATAGATAATATATACAATACCTAAAGCCACTAATACGCATAGCGTTTCGAGCAATTTGTAGATATTCACCCTATCCTGGTGAGAAGGTTGCCTTGGGCTCCCTCCCTTTCTCTGACCATTGCATATGTGAACTGAAACAAACGTGCAAAAGAATTTTCCATTTGATATGTTTTTCAGGTTATTATTGTGTTGTTAGTATCTTAACTCTTGTGGGTTGTGATGAGATCTGTCATTTGTGTATTTTAGTTTGTGTTTGATAGGGAATTAGGTATGCTTAGGGGTGCTTTCTCGCCATTCCCTGTGGCTGGGGTGATTGGTACCCTGAAGCTACATACACCCTATCCCCCTCCCCCGAAGTGGCAAGGGGAGTTAGGGGGCAACAAAATAACTGGGTCATCGGCGCACCCTGTGGAGGGGGGCGCCCTTGGAGGGTGGTTGGGTGTTCAGTGCTGGGGCAAGAGGAAGGAGCGTCTTGCACCGGTGTATTTAGAATTACCTGAGTTTACTTGAGAACCACTAACACTAGTGGCCTCGACGAGGACAGGAAGCCGGCGGCTTGGGATATCAGATGAACACAAACTAGTTTTTGATCTATACCCTGCGATCCTTCATATAGAAAGGGGAGCAGCAAATTGCTGTATACTTATAATTAAGATTTAGCGTGTTAATAGTAGTAATAAATTTTTATTGTAAATAATAAAATAATATTGTATTTGTAAATAATAATAATAAAATATTAAGTTCAGACACGAATGTGTATACGATTACGAAACGAGCAGTGAGTGGTACCATGTTAGGGTACGAACGGTTCGTTTGTTGATAAACAAGCGCAAGATGGAGGAGGCGCCACGCGCCTCGCGGGGGGAACCTGACAATATCTCCACCATACACACAGACTGGGGGCCCCTGGTGCACGTCAGGCCTGTATTTACAACCGACTCCAAGTAAATTGCCATTATTTGGTTGTATTTGCTGCTGTAACGACTGGTCTGCCTCGGAATACGCTGGGGGATAACTACCGCATTCTGTATTGTTGCCCTAATACCGTACTGTATTTACCCTAGTTGTGCTTGCGGGGGTTGAGCTCTGCTCTTTCGGTCTGCCTCTATAGTCCCTGTAGTCTGCCTTAAGAATGACTTCTGTACTGCTTCCACAGTACAGTATTGTAGTGTGCCTCAAGATATACTACGGATGGTTGATGCATTATGTTATGCATTACAGTATTGTAGTGTGCCTCAGGATACACTAGGGGTGGTTGCTGCATTATGTTAGCCCTATACAGTATTTTAGTCTGCCTCGGGATACACTGCAAGTAACCACTGTATTATGACTTATTACTCCAATATAGTACAATATGGTACTGTGCTTTTTCTGCGTCATTTTGAGTCATATTTGTAAATGAGCAAAATTTTTCGAGTAACTTTAGAAATAATTATGAACTCTTACTTAAACTAAGATTAGTAGGAGTCAAATAGGGACATGAAAGTAATCATGTTACATCGTCACTACATTTTAAGCAAACCAATCCTAATCTAACAAGAAAAACACGTTTATATACATAATCTGCGAAATGTAACATCATTAACATAATCGGCTGCATCTTGGGATCTATCTCTTTAGGTACTACTGGTGGATAGAAGCCTATGGAGTACTGTACTGTCATTTAGTATAAATTATGATGATTGTTCACAAATATTACATTTGGATATAGGCCAATATTCAGAGCATCCAGTCTTATGTTAGATAAGAATTCTTAAAATAATAATAATGAAGGTGAAGGAAAGACCCAATGCATGTGTAAGTGTATTATTAAACCAAATTTTTGGATGAAGCCTACATCCTTTACTAAGGCACAGGTAGTGTTATTTAACAATGTTCTGAACAATGTATAGCACCAGGGATGTGTGTGGGGGGAGGGGGTGATCATAAGAACCCCCTGCTCCTTGAGGAGGCCAGAGTTTGGCCACTATTTTCAGGTAAACAATTACGGGCTTCTGGGACTGATGTGCCTTGTTTACATGGAGGCATGTCAATGTGGCTAGTTACAGGGAGCCACTAATCCCCACACTGAAAGAGGCATTTCATTACATTCAATGCTTTTTCTTTTTTCTCCCAAGAAGTTTGTCTATAAACTAGCTGTACAAAAATATTGAGAACACAATAGCATGATAATTTTGGATGAATTACAAAAAAAAAAAAAAAGGTTTTAAAAATTTTGAATGTGAAAGAATATCATATTAAATCCCTTACACAATCGTCTTGAGTAGCTTATCAATAATGTAAATGATTAGTAACAGTAATGTCGTCTCAGACATAATAACATAGGAAAAAAACCACACTTGTGTATTTGTGAAATTTACATAAGGAATTTACACCAAGTCTTTCGCACTCATGAGAGGCAAAAGACGTGGTGTAAATTACTTGCATAAATTTCACAACTACACAAGTGTGGGTCTTTTTCCTGTAATATAAATGATTATAAATTATATTCTAAATTTTTTTTTACTAAAACAAAAATTGACAAAAGAAATTTGCAATGAATTAGTTGAGTCAAGTTCACTAGTAAATAATATTTAATAAAAATATATTTGTCTCTTGAGTCCAGTGATAGATTTTTTAGCACATTGAAGTACTGTATGGATATTTGTATACATTGAAATTAGCACAGGTTTCCTATTTTCAGATATTTAATCGCAGCATCAGGGAGTGCTGTCAAGTTATTTAGTACCACTAGTGGAAGCCTTCTAGAAGAACGGCATTACCATGAAGCTAAGGTTGTGACATTTTCTTTCCATTTACTTCTAAAACTTTTGTTTTGTTTAAACTATTACTCATTATGACTTGCAAGTACCTATTAATTGTTAGGTAAACGTAAGCTTCAGGTGTAAGAAAATATGGCTAGATGTTTGGTCTTGCCTGGTAATGAAACCCTTTACAGTACCATTCAGTTATGAGTAGACTCCACTGCCCGCTTGTTCTAGACTTTTATTAGTAGGTTATAAAGTACAAAAAAAAGGAAATGAAAGGAGCACTTCTTAGAATGACATTGCTTTAATTTTTTTTTTTTTAGATGAAAGGCTGAAATGATGATTACGAACATGTATAGAATTTTTTTTAATGAAAATTTGACGATAAAACCGAGGTCAGATGAGAAATTGTGATGGAGTGCAAGTGGTTTGTTTATGCCTGTGAGGAAATTTATTTCTTTAGGCCAAAAGAGCTCACATAGCTAAGATAGCCAGGGATGCAAAGTTGGGTCCTAAAGGATCTTCCATCTACAAAACGATGCTTATGGAAAGGACAGGAATGGTGAAAACATTCTTTCATCAACTAATTGATGGGGAGGAGGAAATAAGCAATATACTAAACAGTTGTTTAATATTAGTCTTCATTAAGAAAGTCCTTGATATACTCATCTAAGAAGCAAGCTACAGAGATGTTGATGAAAACAGACTGTAACATACAAATAAATAAGAAGGATGTACATAAACAGATTGAGAGGCTCAATCCAAATCTCCCAGTCCTGTCAAAGAATTTAAGTTATAAAGATATGCGAGGAGCAAGTCGGTAGGCCACTAACAAGTTTATTTAAATTAATCAGTCGGAACTGGTGTTGTCCCTACATTCTGGAAGATTGTTAACGTACAGTACAGTAGTTCCAATATTTAAGAAGAGAGAGCAAGCTCTTGCTAGTGATGTTGACCAGTAAGCTTCATATCACTCGTGGGAAAGTTCCTGGAATAAGGAGGGATAAGGGAAGTACTGTACTGCTTTCAGAATAGGTTTTTGAACGAGTGAAATTAGTTGCCGACAAGCAATATGGAGACAGTTTAACAGGTTTCAGGAATGGATTGGATATGGGTGAGAAGAGGTGGATTTATATGGGACCCATCTAGTATTTTATTTATTTATTTATTTATATACAAGAAGGTACATTGGGGATTAAGAGAGTACATAGTAATGATAATTTTACATTCTTGTAAAACCACTAGCACTCATAACGTTTCGGGCAAAGTATGGGCAGAAAGTTTCGGGCAGTATGGGCCAATGGGTCTACTGTAGTACGCCCTAATTTTTATGTTCTTGTCTATTTCTTCTATTATTTTTGAATCCCACAGGTTGTTGGAGTGGTGCCATCCTCTGTTGAAGAGAACCAGTTTGTATCTTGTGATGAGAGCGGTGTGGTGTGTTTCTGGAACTTCCAGAAGAAAAAAGACATTAAGGTAAAAACTCTTATAACATGCACAAATTTATTAGGTATTCCTAGTAGAAATTTTCTGGGCTGGGCCTCTCAGTAGTTCCCTGATGATTAAGTGCTGGTACTGCTAAGCCTTTAAGTTATAACAGATCTTTGGGATTTACACAGGCCTACTGGAAACAAGGATCGGAGTCTGGTTCCTTTAAGAAAGGCAAGGAAAGAATGGGTTTCGGAGGTTGACCCAAAAACTGAAAGAAACCATCCATAACCTACAGGAAGAAAAAAAATTACTGTACTGTAAACACTGCTGGAAAGAAAGAAATGCATAAGGAAAGCAGTGCAAAAGATAGTTGGCAACAGTTGAGCAACCTTAACTCCGATGCACCTATTTGGCAATAGATAGCACAGTAGCTCAGTTCCTTACAAAAGAGACACGATGGAGAGACAAGGGGGATAGGGGAAAAGTCACTGGATTAAGTACGGGAGTACTGTACTTTGTCAGAAGGAAAGAAAGGGTCATAGTCATAGAGGATATGTCAAGCTGAAGAGGATTGGAAAATGGTGTTCCACAGGGCTCTGTTTTAGTACCATTGCTGTTTTTAATTTATATAAATGACTTTGTAGAGGGAGTGGGCTCATACAATGGGGGGCTGACAGCTGAGTGGACAGCGCTTCGGATTCATAGTCCTGAGGTTCCAGGTTCAATCAAGTGTGTGGCAGGAGCTATTATCACCTGCCCTTCATGGTAGAAATAGAAAAAGTACACTTCTGTGTTATTTTCCACTGATAAAAAATCAGCATGAAAATTGATTCGGTGGAAAACAAAGTACTGTATTACAATCCTATATCAGCAGTCTTCCAATGAGCAATGGAAAGTAACATGATGTTCAATGGAGCCAAACTCCAACAACTGTACTTTCAGTAAAGAAAATGAAAGCCCTAAAATGAGTACATGATGCTGTCAGATCTTTTCATGGAATGGAGGTAGCAAATAAGAGATCCAAGAGTAATAATGTTAGATTGCCTAACATTTAATGAGTAGAATAAAGCCAGTATAGCAAGAGTAATAGTAAGAGTAGTCGAGCCTGACCTCAAGCCAGGCTTGGGGAGTAGAACAACACCCAAAACTCCTCTCCAAGTACACTGTATGTGACATGAGCCAGGAAAGGCAGTCGAGATGCCACACAACATGCCTGGCTCTAGGCTGGACTGTGGGAATAGAACTCAATTTTAGATTTCATTCATGAGTTTTTAATTTGCACCATCTTGTTTAAAAAATATATACCTGTACTGTAATATAAAAAAAAAAGGATTTTTGTTTGTTAGGACTTAACATGATTATATCAAATCATTTTTTTTTCTTTTTACAGAAATTTGTTCTTCTGCCAAAAGAAAACAGCATGAGGAGGGTTGCATCGTTCAATTATTGTAGCAGACGTGAAGAATTATTTTTATTGGTACAAATTTGTGAGTCACAGAAGGGAAACTTGCTGAAGTTCTGCCATCCATTTAAGGCTAACAAATATTCTAAAATGTCTACGGATGTTTCGTTGGGGCAAAACAAGGTATTTGATACCAGATTTTGTATTCTTACAGTGAATAATATATTCCATAGTTAGTTATACCCAGTAAGAATAACTTAAGAATTTGTCATGTTTACAAAGGTAATGGGTAATAGTAAAGGAGAGTGATGGGTATGTATGGTATACAGTATAAGATTTGTTATATCCTGTGAAACATTATGTAGGAAGTAGTTGTTGAACAGTTGGAGCCTATGATGTGTACAAGTTTGCAGCTTTGTGCATGTTTTTAAAATACAGTACAGTATTTATTGGGCTGGTATTTGAGGGTTTTGTAGGCCGAACAGCATTTTGGTGGCTCAATGCATAGTTAATGTGCTGTGGCCTTGTTGGGCTTGTGTGGCTTGGGCTATGTTAACCATCCCTGACCCCTTCCCCTTTGAGGGTTTGGGTTTCTTCTCTCCTTTCCCCTTGGTGAGTTACCTCTTACTCATTTGTTCCTTGGTGACAGCAACAAGGAGCCACTATGTGAACCCTTCCCATAAACCGGCATTAAATGTAACGAAATGCTTCTTTCTGGAGGGCATTTATTGGATGGATCCAGTAGTTTCATGGTTCTACCACCTGGTGGCAAGCAGCTACTATTTGGGGTTGAATGACCTAACTACTGAGTGAATCGTTTCCTGCTCTGTTTATATTTTTCTTGTTGGTGTCTGTTTTGATTGGCTCTACCTTTTTGGTGGTTAGTGCCTTGGTGAAGGTGATTAATATAGATCCCCTGCTCTGTACCCACTTTCAGAGTCTCTGGTGATGCAGTGGTAACACACTCGCCCAGCTCCTGATGAGCAATTTGGTCTGGGTTCAATTCCTTTCCAGAAAGAATTGGCTAGGTGCCAATCCATAACTGTTCACCTCTGTTCACTCAGCAGTAATTTTGTACCTGGTTGTAAACCAGTTGGTGGGTTGTGTTGTGTTGTGAACTAGCAGGTAAAGCTTACCATTAGGCCTTTCCCATGGGAAGGGAAAAGTCTCAGCCTGGTAACAGGAGTCAGAAGTTGTCTGTTCCCGTACCCATCTGTGAAAAGAAAAAAGGGTGGGACTCTGGTTTTAGTTTCTAGTAGGCTCTTACTGACTCATAAAGGCCTGGTGTGACTAAGTAGGCCTGGAGCCATCCAGCGTAACTAGGTACACGCAGCCATCAATTTTATGGCATGTTCATTACTGTATGTAAACATTTTTATTAACATAAAGATTTTTCTCTTTTGTAGTTTGCAGTGTCACATTGTGAGAGTTATATAGCCCATGTATCACAAGAAGGTCTTGTTGTCCTTGGAAATGATTGCAGTGTTGGAGGCATTAACCGAAGAAGGTGAAGTGCATCAAAAATAATTTTGTTTGATTATAATTATCACAAAATTTAAATAAAATTATTAATAACTTAATTTTTATTTAAAAAATGAAGAAATGCCTGTCCATTAATTTATATTTTACTCCTTTTATCACTCGTGTTATAATCTTATGTCATTTTATGTCATTTTAGACACTTGGTTGGCGATCGTAAAGTGACTTGTGTGATCTTCCACCCTTCACAAGATGCAATAGCCACTGGGGACATCACTGGACGTGTTGTTATTTGGTATGAATTTATGCGTGCCAATCCTATAAAAAAAGAACTCCATTGGCATACACAGCCAGTTGCTGATCTTGCATTTTCTTTCACAGGTTAGTATGATATTCCATTTCAGACATGCAAATGTTCAGTAGCTTTATTTAAAGCAATCATTAAAACCTTTGTATCAATTTTTTTTCATTTCAAGTACAAGATTTTTACTGGGCCTTTAGACTGGAAATGAAACCTTAACTCTCAGTGTGTAGCTAATGAAATATGGTCATACAGTATCTGCCTATGCGAAAAAAAAAATATATATAAAAAAAAAATTTGTCCCTTGTAGAATTATTAATTTGTATGCAAAATGTGAGAAAAACTTTCATTTAAGTACAGTATGTACCTTTTAAGTGGTTGGGTGAACCGTAAAATATTGCATGTTGGTAATTTGAGCCGGTATCTATTTACACTGATGCCAACTTTTTTGATACTGCAGTATGAGAGACATGACTCCAGTGCTCACCTTGGATATTTCTTTGATTGTTTATCACTATTTTTTAAATGTCTACTATAATATGCATATCAAATAATTGTTTTATGGGAATATAATTTACAAAAAGTGAAAGTAGGAGGTGCCTTTTATTGGCCCGTATTAGGCAGCTCCTACTTGTATGCTTATGTGTTAGATGCTTAATTTAGTTGCTCAGCTAGGTGTGTGTTTAGGCTGCGATCTGTTCTTCTATTACTCGGGAACTCTAAGAATTCACCCTGGATTGGCAGTTGATTTAGTATGTTTGTGAGGCTTGGTGCATTTTTAGGCTTAGATGTACCGATACTCAAGTTGCAAGGGTCTACTGAGTGATCTACAGAAAGGAGCATTCCATTACAGTCAGCACTTGATTTTTAGGAATTCTGATAAGAAAAATAATGCTCTTTTCACATTTGTCATTAATCATGCTAGCACTCTTAATAGTACCCAAATCTTTTAACACAATCAGGATATTCTGGCAGATTTAGCTTATCTGTAATGTGACAGTATCTAATCTCGATGCCAAATGGTAGTAACTACTATTTCCGTGCCCCTGTTATGAAGACCAGGTGTAAGGCTGTCCAACCCAAAGGACTGATTTTGTTAATATATTTTGCACCCCATATAAATGATTACATTTTATGCATGTACGGTATTTCATAAATTGGGGACCATCTGTTCATCTTTTCATCATTCCATGTATCAGTTTCATTGGGGAGGTGGTGAATAGAGGAAGAAAGGGGAGCGATATAGTGAAGGAAGGTAATGGATAAAAATAAAAATTGCATACAATATACAGTAATAAAAATTTCACTTCGAACTTTCTCACAAAAAATTATTTTATCAGACATCGTCATTTCACATTTACAGGAAAGGAGTTGTACAGTGGAGGTGGGGAATCTGTGTTGGTGAAGTGGCAGCTCTCCGAAGACCAACGGAGCTTTCTTCCTCGCCTGGGATTGAACATAAAATATGTGGCTACAGATATTAGGAATAATTGCATTGCAACAGCTCATGTAGATAATTGTATGTATAACTTGGTAATTTATAGACATTCCTACAACTTTTAAGTGATGATATTGCCCAGGAAAGCAACTAAGGCTTTCAGAATTTATTTTTCAGTATGGCAAAAGATTGCCAGATGTCTCTAGTGTTGAATTATGTCCACATAGAATCTTTAGAACTTTTAAATATTATGGGGCACATCTATTCTCCCACTATTGGCATGTGTGGTGATGATGCACTCATGCTTGGAGAAGTCATACTCTCTGCTGATGTAAGTTTTTTGTAAGGTTTGGCAAGATTGATTATGGGACAATATTCAATTTAGAAATAAAGTATATGAAATTTGAGGTGATTGCATTGTATTTTAATATGGATATTCTTTGAGCTACTAGAGTAGTCACTATTTGAATTTTTTTTTCAGCATTTACCATTATTTCTGCAAAGGAGTACATGGTAGAAGGGATTATCCAAGGCCTTGCCATGAATGTCGACAATGTTGAGCCTTTCCCAGCAGGCATAGTTTATGATCCAAGGACTCGAGCTGCTGTTTTGAATGGCAGAACAGGCCATGTTCAATTTTATGACTTTCAACATTGCAGACAACTTTTCCATGTAAGTAGGACAGATACTTATTGATAAATATCTGAGGAGGAGTATGATAGATTCATCAACTCATTTCTGTATTGATACATGTCTCTGTGTTTCAATATAGATTACCAATGTATGAAATACAGTATAGTATCTGGGCTTGGACCCCTCAGTAGCTTCCCTTATTTTATGGCACTGGAACTATAGTGCCAATATCAAAATGGCAGGCACCTGTGACTCAACCCACAGGGAGAAAGCACTATTTTCCATCAACTTGGCCACCCTCCCCCCCCCTCCTCTATGAGACAGGGAATCATGGGGGGAATCAAAGTTCAACCCAGAACTGAGGTGAACTGCACATGTAAATACAAAAAAGTTGCTAAACCCCTCAACCATCTTCTATGAAATGTTTAGAATCACCAAACAAACAACAAAAACTCTATATCATGCAAATAACAAATTGCCCAACTCATATCTCTGCTATCCAGTGGCAATCCAAACCACTTAGGGCTCTAGTTTGGCAACCACCTCAAACTCGTCTGCCACTCACAGCAGTATGTCACATGGTTCGTGTGGCAACAACTGTTATATCTTAGTCAAGTTGTCTGCTTTCCCTTGAATCTCATACATGTGGACTTCGGTGTCCACGTGTATGATATTCATGCTGTGATTATTTTAATAGGCATGCACACTGCTCATATGATTTCCATAATTCAATTTTACTAGTTTCAGGGTTGCCCTTTTTTGCCAACACTAGTAGAGTCCTTTAGAGATGCCTATGTATTAGTGCATACCTATCAGTAACTACAGGGAGTGAGATCTAACTTTTTCACCTGGAAGCTATCTCGCTGATATTGCCCCAAACTATTGGTTCACATCAGTCACAGGAGTTGTGTTTGGCCTACTGGGAACCAGAACCAGAACTCGGCCCACCTTCACAGATACACAGAGTGAGAGAGTGACAATCCACCACCCCATCGGGAGAGTATCTAGAAAGTCAACAAATTTGATAAATTTATATAATAAAATGTGTGGAACATTGATATACTCAAAAATATGATGCACATGTTAGTGACAATATTATTATATTCTTAGAACAAGAAAACAGTGCTTTTGCTGTTATTACACTGCATATACATTATTTATATGTACTGTATATATATGTATTCATTATTTATTAAAATTTTTGGGCACCATAATGAACCACTAAGCGGGTCTGATGGGCCCACACACACACACGACATAGTGTCAAGACAGTAATCATCTGACAGCTGCACCTGACTTGCCATAATGCTTGCCGTATAACACACATCACTAACTCTAGGCACAGTGTTGCTATTATCAGCAGCATCCTGGTCTCTTAAATTCTGAATATGAACAACTTTTATAGAAGTTTATTTTTTTAAAGGTGCATGAGGTCATTTCATGATGGGTGGATGTACCAAACAATGGCAGAGTGCAGTGGCTGTGTGCATCATGCTGTGAACATCATAAACAAACAGCATTGTGTTCACTGATATCTGAACACAGTACATAGTCTTTATTGCAGTCAGGTTCTTCTATGATATAATCATTGCAAAATAATAATAGTTACTGCACTTGTATATTTCTTAATTTTTTAATGATGCTGTGACAAGCTGAATAGTGGTGCTGTTAGCTCATGTTGCACGTGCCAGCCTTGGTTGCTCCCTTCATGCCCAGGAACTGCCGAACTGTACCCACAATTTTTTGTATTTCTCGGAATGTTTTTGAAAAAAATCTGTTTACTGGAGGCCTGAGGAAGCTGAAATGAGCCCCGTGTACCTGTGGGACTTTTAAATCTTACTCAGAACTCTACACTCTAAACTCTAAATCAAATATATATAGGATACGTGCAGTGGAAGGGTTAATTAGCCTCGCCTGAGAACAGGTTACTGTATTGCTTCACTCCTTTTCTGGATGTTTTCTTGGTGCGAGTGATCGTAACTGTCCCAGCACTGCGCCTCTATGGGGTGCAAGGTTCTGGCTCTGGTCCCTGGTAGGCCAAATAGGACTCTGATGACTGAAATGATCCAGTAGTAGGAAGCCATCTTGGCAAGATTGCTTTAGGGAGTCACTAGGGCTCTACCAGAAAGAGGTGTTTCATTGCTTTAAACTTTTTTTTTTTTTCAGTTGGATATAACACTGATCAATTACTATACCCAAGAGAGATATCAGAAGATCCACAACACAGATGTTGAGCATCTTGCAGTGTCTCCAGATGGGCATTGGCTAGCCACTATCGAATATAGAGATGACCATCAAACCTCTTTAGAACTTCGCCTTAAATTCTGGAACTTTAAGAAGAAAGATCAGAAGTATGTATAATGTTCTTTATTGTGTATTTGTTGATGCAAATGCTTGTGTATTTGTGGTTCGGAAGGTGTCTAGTAGTATTGACAGTGAATTAATACTGCCATAATCCAATCCTTGTTATGGCAAGCACCATGATTTTATATGTTGTAAGCAACATAATAATAATGGTAATGATAAAAATGAGCAAAAATTGACCCCTTTCAAACCTGGGAAACCGTGGTCATTTAGACTATTGGACAAGAAATGTGAGAATTGAAAAAAAAAACATTGAATGTAATGAAACAACCACTTTTGGGTCAGCCCTGGTGGCTCCCTGAGTGCCACTAGTTACTACCTCCCTACTACAATATTCAGTAGTTAGCAGAGAGATACTATAATTGGTATTTTTATCAAATCCAAAGTTCTGCTTGAAGTGGTCATTGATAGCTTTGATTTTATTTGTATGATAGTGAGCTGGTCTTTCAGAGAGTTGGATAGAGATTTTTCCACTATCTTCCTTCAAGTCAATATGGCAGGGCCATTTGCAATATTATCTCTCATGTTGAGGGGGCAGGTTTATATATCCTGGAATGTTTTGTGGTTTTAATGGACGATATGGGTGCATGGTGAGGGGAGCAACCTAATTGCCACTCAGATGGTAGATTTCCAGTATTCTGGACACTATTTCAAATGTGATTTCTGGCAGTCAATCCAAATGGGACAGAATTCTCTAGTGTCTTCATAACATCAGTATGAATGAGACCAAATGAGGCATGAATTTTTGTCCTTTTCTGAGGCCAAAACGTTCTTTATCTTGGGTATCACCCGAGCAACTTAATTTTTAGTTTAATTGATGCTTGATTTTTAGTGGAATTATTTTTTTTTTTTCAGTTGGTACCTCAACACCTGTATAGAAATGCCACATGATAAGTATGTCAATGGCATCACATTCCAGCCATCTCTAGGACCCGAACAAGCGTCGCCACTCTGTGTAACTTGTGGAGATGATGGCAGGTTTAAGGTTTGGCAAGAAACTGATACCACAGATATATATGGTAAGTAACTCAATTTTCTATAAAAAGTTTACGAGAACAGTAAATATATGACATAAATGTACATCCAAACTTCCACAAATTCATATTTCATAACTTTTTACTATGCTCGAGGTAAACTTTACTTGTGTAGTGCATAATGTTGGCTTAATTACTGGGTCTTCTCTGTCCTATGTGTATGTCTTCATGGTACATTGTGAAGATAAAATATTGACAGTTTAAGTTACAGAGGTCTTTTTGATGGCTTAAAGCTGGAGCTGGGATAATGAAAGATGTCAGTTACCTCATTCATTGATAGGAGCAGTGACAAAGATTAATGCCAACAATATTGTTTGTTAACATTGAAAAGTATTCCTGTTAATAGAACTTTGGTTTGATGTTGCAGTATATTTGCAGTTGTCATAAAATTTGCATTATGAACTATTTACAAAAGTGACCAAATATTCTTAAGTTGTCTTTGCTCTCTTGGATACATATTGCTACTGGAATTAGTTTATTATTAGAGTACTGAACTTGATAGTTTAGTTCTAAAGAAAGAGATGGGTCAATATAAGAGTAAGTACGGTAGATAGAAAAATGAAGTACAGTACAAGGAGCAAAATAATGTGTAAGCTCCCAGGTCATTATTTGGAGATTACCATCTGCGTACAGAGAAGACAAAATTACAATATAAAAGGTACCAAGAGACACATAGTTACACCATACAAGATACTGCATCATAGACAAAGTGAACACGAACAGATTGCTCAGATTAAGAAGTTGGAGTAGCAGTGCTGACAAAAATTACAAACACAAATGAGCCACATGCTGTATAGAAATGCTATTTAACTGCGGGAAAGTAGTTAACATGTGGAATGAACTGAGGGAAGAGTCGCCAATTCAGTACACAGCTTTAAAAAAATAAATAAATAAGGCAGTTGTAAAAAAAGTTTGAGTACTGTACTTTAAAGAGGTTGGCCAAAGAGCTTATCTTCACTACCTAAAACTTAAAAGCATGTTTGGGCAAGAATCACAACAGACTTTACAACCACTACAACGGGTGCATGGGAAGGTGGTTCCTTTAGCCAGTGCTCTAGGTTGCTCTCTGGGCAGTCAGTGTACTGTGAGCTGGGTCTTCCAGTCCTATTATACCAGCACAATACACACATTAGGCCTTTTTCTAAAATTGGGGCTATAACTATAGATATATTATAGATAAATTTAACTACTGTACTTTATCCACAGGGGAAAAAAGTTGTTGGAGTTGCTGTGGCATAGGATTTTATAGACATCTTCCAGCAACAGCAGTACGGATGTCTCATGATGGCTCGCTCATTGCTGCTGGTTTTGGGAGTATCCTGACATTTTGGCTGCCCTCATCTTGCAACCTTAAAGGCACACTGTCTCAGCCATACCTTACTGAGAAGATCAAGTAAGAAATGTTTAACTTTCAAACAAAAAAGAATTCTGCATTGGAAAATATTTTCATGAGTGTACAAAATGATCATATTCATTAGTGGCCATAGCATAATATGCATTAAGGTTTGGGTAGTGAATCCTTTTAAAACATGAAAGCCATGTTCCATGAAAATGGCTTGTCATCTAAAAAGGTGTTTTATAAGCTTAATTATGTTCCCAGACATAAAATTTTAAATGATTTTCAATTAAACCAAAACTTGTTCAAACTTGACAGATTCATTTTGCTATAGTTTGTGCGAGCAAGATTGCACAGTTCCAGACATGGGACCAGTGATGCTTCCCTTATTTGGATACAGCTGAAAAATCTATAATTATAGATTGTATTATTAAGAATGTTAAACAATACTCTATTGTATCATCAGACTATTGACATTCGAGTCCTAGGATTTCTCTTGCACTGTCATGAGTGGCAGATCAAGAATGGTTGATTAAATGATGCATTGTGCTTTATATTTCTAGATATATGAAGTTACTAACATTGAATATAACATTGCCATATAAGTTTTATAACAGTACTATACTTGTATTGTGTTCACAGACAGATTGAATTTGGACGTGGTAAAGGATCTGAATCCATAGTTGTGACTCGCACAGAGCACTGGGTTTGTGCCTGGGATTTGTTCACTTGTACTCTCTCTTGGAGAGTTAGCATTTGCTCCACATGCTTAGCTGCTGATCCACTGTCATCCTACATGGCTGTATTCTCTGCGGAGTGTGATGGTAAGAGTAGACACTGATTTTTATCTTTTCCAAACTTGTGATATTAGATACTTTTATGTATTTTCATTATTGTACAACACTTTCTTTTAGCTAGCAATTTATTGTTTCCTCTAAATGTGCTTTTTTTTACTTTGCTACTAAATAGTATTCTAATGTACTGTACGTGTGTGTGTGTGTGTGTGTGTGTGTGTACACTCTTGCTTACATTCATGCTCACTTGTGGGTATCCATTTCTAGTAAAATTGGTTAAGAAATATATATATTGGTGACAAAACATTTATCTGCAATAGGAGTAGAATGAGTTCAACGTATTTGGTATTTCAGAGGAACATTCTTTCATTTTAACATCGTGTCATTTTCTTTGCAGTTTTTGTGTTTGAGCCACGAAGTAGTGAATTGGTATCTTGGCAATACAACATTGACAAGCACCCTGCTCTCTCTGCTGTTTTTGTCCCTCACTTAAAGAAGCCTAATTCAAATGCCCGTTGGAATGAACAAAGTGCATTGATATATATCAATAGAAATCAGGTACTGTGTATGATGTATTGTGTATCTTGTATTAGCTTACCTCAAATGTAATTGTATCAAATATTATTGTTTCGGTCTTATCATTCTTAGGTCCTGTTTTACTAATACTTTTATTTCCATCAGACTCTACAAATTCTTGAAGTGAATGTAGATCTAAGTTCAGCCAAAGACAAGATAGCAGGACGAGTGAGAATGTTAGTTCAGGACACGGAGGCGTATACAGCACCGACCCCATTTGCTGCTCTTGTTGCCCAGACACGAGTGGCCCACAATAAGGAAGAGAAGACCAGACAGTCAGACTCTGCTACTTTTGGGATCCATGTTGAAAAATCAACAGCCCTCATACAAGAGGCAAGTTTTTGCATTAAATTTAATTTGAAATCATTTATTTGATAGCCATAGTAAAAGTACTCAATGGTTGTGTGATTACTTTTTCTGGGGAAGCCGCTTGTTTGATTGTTGGCATGTCGATTTGCCTAGGTCCAACACATTGCTTATAGATACTGGAATATGATATAAGAAGAGATTATAGATGTGTGTCATATCAAAACATTGCACAACAAAGAGTACTGGGAAGATGGGACACCATGAGCAAAGCTCTCATCCTGTAACGGCACTTAAGTAATTACTACAAAATCAGAAATGGAACTTGCTGGATTTCTTACAACAACAGACTGATGTGAATGAACCTAGTCAAGCTAATAAGAGACATCCCTGATGCTCATAGCCTTGCCTTTACTGAGAAATTTCCTGGTATATCACATACAGAATGTGAAAAAAATAACAATGGTATGAAAGAACAGCGTGTGTTAAGGAACACAATAATAATGTGTTGGTACATCATTGTTAGGGTTTTTACACTGTGGTACTGATTGTTTACCATGGCTCCCTTTAAACAAGGGCAGGTCTCAGAGGCCTGGGGCATCTTACTAAGACTTTTAGACCAGCACCCAGTTCAAGAAGCTACCTAGGGCCCTCGCCAGGAAAGGGTATTTCATTACATTCAATGCTTTATTTATGGTTAAATATCAGGACTTAGCCAGACTTTATATAAAGTATGTAAACTACTACAAAATATTGATACTAACATACATATTATAATTAAACAGGTTCTGAACGAGGCACGTGTGTATCGCCTTGACTCGTTTGCACATCTGTCATTGGAATTCTGCAAGATGATCATTCCTGAGGCAGTTAACAGGTATCAGAAAGAGTATTAAATTTATAACTTGTCATGAATTGCAAGGTATAGTACAGTATCAGTTTTTCAAAATGATTTGGAGCTGACCAAATTAAGGAGAGGTGCCATTGTTAGGTATGGGTAGATTAGAATTGTGTGCTAATAAGATGAGTAGATTAGAATTAAAAAAAAATAGCTGGTTTTAAACAAAATAAGAACAAATATATAAATAAAATTAAACAAATTATATTTTATTTTAATTTGTGTGTTATTATTTGAAAGCTAAGATACGGCTCTATAATGTCTAAATACATTTAGTATTTTGACCTAATAAAATTGTAAGTTTAAATAAAAATAGTGCATTAGTACAATATAATGAAACTCTCCTTTATTGGGGCCCCCTCAGTGGATCCCCAGAACTTGTGCATTGACACTCAAGGCTAACATCATCTCACCAGGCATGTAAGACCATTTCACAACTAACTCTCAGGTAACTGGGAGTTAGTTGTGAAAGACCACAATCTTGCCCCTCAACACCGGCAGGAGAGCTGAGGGTGTCTTAAGATACCACACATCAAACAAATAAATACCAAACAAAATTTAAAACTTTTTCAACTTCTTAAAAAACTAAACACCTCCTCTTCACAAGTTTAGTCTTCACTCTCCTCCTCTCTGGTAAGTTTCCTTTTCCTTTGTGTTGATGGTTTGCAGTTATTTGCTGCTTCATTTCTTTCCTCTCTGAACCTTGCAGATGTTTAGATTCACTTATTTTCTGGTTGTTTCCTTGGTGAACATGATCATAACAACCCTCTGCTCCCTGTACCTCTGTGAGGTGGGGTCCAAGGTCTGGCTCTAGTGTTTGGCAGCCCTATTAAGAACTCCTGAGGGTGATGTGACTTGTGTGTGTAGTTACAGGGAGCCACTGAGGCCCAACCAGAAGGAGATGTTTCATTACATTCAATGCTGCTTTTTTCATGTTAATACTCTTTCATATATTTTTGTTATGTATTTAATACTTATTCAATGTTAATTTACAGTGAAGAAAAGCAGATGAAAGACGATTTTGAGTCTAAATTGAAAGAAAGAGAAGAATTTCAAAGAAAAACAAAGAAGAAGATTTCCAAGGGAAAAAAGAAAATCTTACAAAAGGTTACAAGTAGTGACTTCAGTGATCTTATGAGTGTGTTAACACTATAAAGGCCTAATACTTTATGCAGAGTTTTCACTTGTACCTTCTAAAGTGTATACAAACGGATTTCTCGGAGATGAGATAGCGTTGAAGTTTTTCTTGTCCATTAAGTGCACTGTATTATGATCTAGTTTTAGTGAGCTTTAAAGTAACTTGACAACACAAGAATTTCATATACTGTATAAATTTTCTTTTGTATTCTAAAGAAATAGAGATACACAGTAAAGCAAATAGATACATTTCAGATGGAATATTAATGTAATGTATATATTTTTTATTTATTGGAAGAACAGTTTGCACCAGATTATTACAGCATTTACAGATACATTATAAGTTTATTTTAGAATTGGATGCTGTTTTAAATATGGTATAAATATCCCCTTCCCAGTGGAGGCAGAAACAAATGGGCAGAATTTCTTTCACTCTGATGCCCCTGTTACCTAGCAGTAAATAGGTGCCTGGGAGTAAGACAGCTGCTAAGGGCTTCTTCCTGGAGGGAGGGGGGGGGGTAACAATAAGGAGGCCTGGTTGAGGACCGGGTCACGGAAACGCTAAGCCCCGAAATCATCTCAAGATAACCTAAGATAACCCTTCTCATGGGATTTGCCTTGTGGTGTTTGCTTATATAATAGTGACTTAAGTTATTTGTTCGGTACTTGGAACCATTTTCCCTAGACAGAATACTGAAAATAGCTGCTAGGTTCCCTATCCACCCCATATAAGCATATTTAACTTATATTTAAGCAAAATTCATGTTGATTTACAATAAATACTATTGGAAAATAATAGCAGATTGCTCTGCTGTCTGTCTGACAAAGCCTTCTTGGTCAGGAGGAGGCTGGTTCATTGGTTCATTTTGTAAACTTCTTTGCCATGTGCAATACAGCTTTTCCCGTTTGATCCACCAAACAGCACACCCTAAATTAAGCCAATTTCCTTGTATGCATAATTTTTTTTTTTATCTTTTCTATATACAGTAGTAAAACATTTCTTTCTGATGACGAGGGGGGAAAAAAATATTTAGGTACTTTTAGTTTGAGTGTATTGAGGAACAAATGTTGAAAATGTAAAAAATCTGGGGAATTAATTTTCAAGTTAACTATTTGTAATATATTTCTCATAACTAATATCTTTCAGGTCCATAAAAATACAAGATATTTGTGCATGGCATCATTGGTTCCTAGCATGGGGTATCAGTAAATGGATGGTGATGTACCTGACATGGGGCAGTTTTTTTTAATAATGCCCAGAAATGAAACCAATGCCTTCATCATATTTTTTCCAATTTGGCAAAAGATTGCCAGATGCATCTAGTGTTGACTTTTTGGGCACATCTAATCTCCCACAGACAAATGGCACACCAGCCAATTGCATTGGGACTACAGGAGCAGTTTAATGGTTAAGATATTTTGTATTGTGCTTTTATTTTCTGTTCACAGCTGCTGCTGAGGCAGCAGCTGAGGACAGATCTGCCTGGAGATGCAAAGTGCAGAAGGGACTCCCGCAATTCGAGGATCAACTGAAGAGGCAAGCGGAGGATAAAGAGACTTCAGAGGAAGTCTCGACCACTGTCAGACACACCCGCTTCGGCGTTTATTTGTGCTTGCTGCGGTCGGGACTGCCATTAATATTACATTAATGGCAGAGGGGGAGTACATCATTAAAGTACATTAATAATAAATATATAACTAAAATATGATTATCTTTCTAAATCATAACAAATATTTGAGTAAATAATTTGAAAAGTATATGAAAACATTAAATATTTGGAGTTTAGGAAAAAGGTGCATACAGTATATTGTAGCATCTCTTAAGCTTTACATTGTGTGAAATGGCATCAAAATCCAGTGGAAACTCAAAAATATGAGGATTTAGGTCTAAAACCAGCACTGAATGAAATGAAATGGCCCTTTCTAGTGGGTCCCTTCGGTTGCTCCCTGAGCAACACACTGGTGTGCCTGTCAAACCCCCCCTACTGCACAAGGCTCTTCATTCAGGTTTGCCTACCATATCCCCCAGTACCTGAATCTGGTCCATTCAATTGAGCAAGAGGGTGTCTGGGGACCACCACAATAACTAAGAGTAACAAGAAAAGTATAACAAACAAAAAACAAAATGTGGATCACATTTACAATGCTGATCCTGTGTAAACAACTGTTAAATGGTCCAAACCATTGGGTTGTAGCACAGGCTCATCAACCCCATCATTTACACTCCTATCAATACAGTACTCCCAAACTCTGGAAGAAAGTGCAAGGGCTGGAAAGGGGACCCACCGATGGGCCCACTAGAAAGAAAGTTAATTTTATCCATCGAGTTTTCTGGGAAGGTCCTTTAGTAGCTCTCCGAGCAAGAAAGAAAACTGGGAGGGCTGGGTGTGAGGAGGGAAAGGAGACGCAAACAGGGATATGTCACCTGGATAACCAACCCAACACCAAGACAGTGCAACGTTGCATCACAACACAGTGTATACAGTCTCCGTGGTGTAGTAGTAAGACACTCTTTTTGGCGTTCCGCGAGCGCTATGTCATGGGTTCGTATCCTGGCCGGGGAGGATTTACTGGGCGCAATTCCTTAACTGTAGCCTCTGTTTAACGCAACAGTAAAATGTGTACTTAGATGAAAAAACGATTCTTCGCGGCAGGGGATTGTATTCCAGGGATCTGCCCGAAACGCTACGCGTACTGGTGGCTGTACAAGAATGTAACAACTCTTATATATATCTCAAAAAAAAAAAAAAAAACGAGACCAAGAGCTAAGCTCTTAATACTCCCAAAGAGGGCCAAAACTACCTACTCATAACAAACCCCCAAACCATTGGACCATTGAGGCCCAACTGCACACTACCAGCAGGTCAACCAGGAAGACGCTATAGAAAAAATTAAATCTTTGAACAAGGTAGCAACAAACAGCATATCTATTCGAACTCCCAGGGAGGCTTGCAAATATCTACGAAGAGGCACCACAAGAAAAGACAAAAAGCATATGAACTAAGTACCACGAAGGCTCTGATGGGACGGGAGCTGGCCAGAGGCAAAAGAACACCTTGGAGCAACTGGAAGGACAAAAACCCTAATAGATCAGAGGGGCTCTACCAAAGTTCAACAAAAACAGCTGAGCCCCTGGAGTAGGCAAACCCATAACAATGGGGTGTGCTCTGTGGCCTCCAAGGACCCACAGGGCACACCCAACTTACAATAGAACCAAAATGAAGGTAAGAGAGGAGAAAAACATATTGACCTCAGCAAGATGGGCCACCAGAAATGCCAAGCGACATAGCGAAAGCTAACTGCAGAAGCGAACTGGATCACCCCCAGTGACCCGATCGTCCCATACCCGAAACAGAACCTATAAGTTCCACAATTGGGAGAAGCTGCCTACTAACACTACTAAAGTCCAAAGAACTAGAAGCAAGGCCATCTGCAGAGTCAAACTCCACATGGGAACAGATGGTCGGAACTATCTTGGGTAAGGCAAAATACCACTAATAGAGGAGCCTGATCACGAGCTTCTTGAAAGACAGCTTTGACGTGCAAATCGAACAACACAGTGCAACCGGAAGATAAAGTCAACTTGAGGGTTGTAAGATGTAAATCCCTTGTTTTACAGTCTATTTATTTGAGACAGTTAAGCTGCATCTAGGTACAAGTGACAGGATGAACAACCCAACGGGTTTTCTTCCTATTGGGTGTGGCGTTGTACAAGGCGGTATAATCACTCCCAGGATGATTGGCATTACCCAATAAACTATCCCCACGGGGCAAAAGGGAATTACGTATTACCGAGAATGTATAGTGCATAATAAACACACCCTAAACTGAACTACGCTCCCATGTATGTTATCACAACTTCACATCTATAAATGAATTAAATACTAACTAATACACTTTCTTGTATTTTACTACATAGGCCTAGGTAATGTTACTGCCACGTATGTATACTTCTCCAATTACAAAATTACATAGTCCAATGTAATGTTGTAAAACTACAACAAGTGTAATTGTTGTAGTTTTAGTTTTAAGTGTTTTTCCTGCCCGAAACGCTTTGCGTAATAGTGGCTTTAGGTATTGTATGTACTAGCTCTATCTATAACTCCATCAACTTTTGTATTTCAGCTTGTACGGATGTACTTTACCTGAATAAATATTTGTATTTTTTTTTGTATTTTTGGGTTGTGTGTGGTATTATTATTATGAGCGCGTGTGGGGCGGCCAGGACCGCCAACAGATGGCGGGCCCGGCGCCGTCTCCCTCAGTACACAAACATCAGTGATGGAGGAGGGACATCATTCACTCTCCTCCAGACATATTCACTTGCTGGATTAACCACTCCACCTTATTGCGACTGTCCCATCTGACTTCCCCAATAAGGTCAGTAGGAGACAATGGGGAGAATATGGAGGCGCAGGTCTGGTGTCTCTGGGTAACATAGAGGGACAAAAACTCGGGGCAGATGGCCAGGGGAAGGCAGGCAAGTCCTGACAAGCGTCTTCAGGATTATGACACCTCGTCAAATTCACTGGGCTCCATCACATTCTGGACCCCTCTATGGCCTATATACACATATATATATTACTCGTAAATTAGTATTTGTGTAATTAACCGAGGAGGGAGAGTGAAAGAAGGTCTGGAGGGTGTCCCAGGCGTCCCTCACACGGATTGACTTGGCATTGTTTTGTATTTATCTTTTATATATAGTTTTATTTTAGGAAGATAATGGTATAGTGTGTGTAGACACCACCACCACTCTGCCATCAACACCAGGGTGTTGATGGCAGAGCTCCGCAGGTGTTGACATGTGCTCAACGTTGATGCCAATTAGTTGAGCTTGTGATTAGTTCCCCTTATTAGCATGGCATAATATCAGTAATTTTCTAGTCGTTGAATATTTAAATCATGGCAAATTTGTACGAATAACTTTAGTTGAAAATACAAACGCTATTTTATATATAAAGTAACGTTTGTAATTTGATTACAGTAAGTAATCCTGCTTTATTGATGAATTATTCTTATTATTAGTAGTAGTAACATCAATCGTATTTAATTATTTACACATTTACTTATTATTTAGTGGTAGACCAAATGAGTTTACAAACAATATATGATCATTATTAACCTTCATATCTTGAACTGAATTAATATATGTTGGTATGGCTGATTAGGCCTGTGTGTGAGAGATAGACAGGTGTGCAGTGTATGATGATGATGTTTAAGATTCGCTTCCTGGAACAAAAAGTTCCAAGTAGCACGGGCTTTGGTGAGCCCGTCAGAAGTGTAGTGTAGGCCTATAGCATGTACCGTGCGAATCAGGAATGAACCGTGTTTTGGTCTTTAATCTTGACTTCTCATCGACCTTCATATCTCGTCCTAGTTTCTTATTTTTTGTTTGCGTTACCATGTTTGAGTAATTATTGTAGACACTCGTTTGTTATGGCTACTGTAGCCTGTCCTCTGGTTAGGACTACTGTAGCCTGTGTTTGTGATTGATGTAGCCTGTCTTTTGGTTATGACTGCTGTAGCCTGTGTGTTTGTGATTACTGTAGCCTGTCCTCTGGTTGTGACTGCTGTAGCCTGTGTGTTTGTGATTACTGTAGCCTGTCCTCTGGTTGTGACTGCTGTAGCCTGTGTGTTTGTGATTACTGTAGCCTGTCCTCTGGTTGTGACTGCTGTAGCCTGTGTGTTTGTGATTACTGTAGCCTGTCCTCTGGTTGTGACTGCTGTAGCCTGTGTGTTTGTGATTACTGTAGCCTGTCCTCTGGTTGTGACTACTGTAGTCTGGCCTCTGGTTGTGACTACTGTAGCCTGTGTGTTTGTGATTACTGTAGCCTGTCTTTTGGTTATGACTGCTGTAGCCTGTGTGTTTGTGATTATTGTAGCCTGTGTGTTTGTGATTATTGTAGCCTGTGTGTTTGTGATTATTGTAGCCTGTGTGTTTGTGATTATTGTAGCCTGTGTGTTTGTGATTATTGTAGCCTGTGTGTTTGTGATTATTGTAGCCTGTGTGTTTGTGATTATTGTAGCCTGTGTGTTTGTGATTATTGTAGCCTGTGTGTTTGTGATTATTGTAGCCTGTGTGTTTGTGATTATTGTAGCCTGTGTGTTTGTGATTATTGTAGCCTGTGTGTTTGTGATTATTGTAGCCTGTGTGTTTGTGATTATTGTAGCCTGTGTGTTTGTGATTATTGTAGCCTGTCCTCTGGTTGTGACTACTGTAGCCTGCGTGATTATGATTACTGTAGCCTGACCCCTGGTTATGACTACTGTAGCCTGACCCCTGGTTATGACTACTGTAGCTTGACCCCTGGTTATGACTACTGTAGCTTGACCCCTGGTTATGACTACTGTAGCCTGACCCCTGGTTATGACTACTGTAGCCTGACCCCTGGTTATGACTACGGTAGCCTGACCCCTGGTTATGACTACGGTAGCCTGACCCCTGGTTATGACTACGGTAGCCTGACCCCTGGTTATGACTACGGTAGCCTGACCCCTGGTTGTGACTACTGTAGCCTGACCCCTGGTTGTGACTACTGTAGCCTGACCCCTGGTTGTGACTACTGTAGCCTGACCCCTGGTTGTGACTACTGTAGCCTGACCCCTGGTTGTGACTACTGTAGCCTGACCCCTGGTTGTGACTACTGTAGCCTGACCCCTGGTTATGACTACTGTAGCCTGACCCTTGGTTATGACTACTGTAGCCTGACCCCTGGTTATGACTACTGTAGCCTGACCCCTGGTTATGACTACTGTAGCCTGACCCCTGGTTGTGACTACTGTAGCCTGACCCCTGGTTATGACTACTGTAGCCTGACCCCTGGTTATGACTACTGTAGCCTGACCCCTGGTTATGACTACTGTAGCCTGACCCCTGGTTATGATTGCAGTATCCCATACGTTTATGATTATTGTCGCTTATCTTTTGATTTGATCTACCATTCGAGTTAGGGGGGTCAAGCCTACCATTCGAGGGGAAACTCAAGTCAATCTTGCCATTCGAGAGAAAGGGCTTGCCCCAAGCCGGGCTCGGGGAGCAAAACCACCCCTTCTAGTCAGGGAGCAGAAGGTGGTTTCGGGTTTATCCTGTCATTGGAGAGGGGGTCGACCCTATCATTCAAGAGAACGGGTCTATCCTTTCATTCGAGAGGGGGGGGGGGGGGGTGTCTATCCTATCATTCGTGAGAGGGGGTTAATGGGTTTTCGGCGGTCGATGGATTAAGGCGCGCGTCTAGGGTTAACCAAGACGCCGGTTCGATCCCCGTCCTGCTCCATGTATCAACAGTCAGTGCTTTAAGAATTTAATCACGACAGTTTCTGAGCTAAGCAATTTACTTCTGCAGAGAGGTAATTTAATATAATTTTATTATGCTCCCCCCCCCCTCTCCCATCCGTTACAATCACCAGTATACACTACCTACACTTTGCAAACTTGGGATAATTGGCTCAAATTTCTGGCCATGTCATAGTGGTCTAGCAACTGAGGGAGACAGGAGAAGCTCTATTCTGAACTGATGTTTTCCAGGGCAATGTAGATGCTGTGAGCCCATGCGTTTTGTGAATACTTAGGCTTAGATTAGGTTAGGTTATGTGGTTACGTTTTGTTGGCAATTATTGGTATTTTCAGTACGTTCCAAATTTGCGAAGTAGACTGACAACATACTGGGGCAAAAGACACGGAAGGAAATATAGAATAGAATCAGTGAGGAGTAGAGGTGCTATAGGCACAATCAGAGAGCAGTATCTGAACATTAGGGTCCACACCTGTTCAATACTCTCCCAGCATGCATTATAAATATTGCCGGAACAAAGTTGGACTTCCTCAAAAAACAATTAGATAGGTTCCTTGCAAGAAGTACCGGACCAACCAGGTTGTAGTAGATATGGTCACTACATATCTGCATTTCAGGCGGCCAGCATGGACCTGCTGGCCGCTCCAAGCAACAGAATGTTTGACCAAGAGTAAGGGACGGGAACTATTAGGAGAAAGCGCCAAGCCATTACGACTATATAGCACTTGGAAGGGATAAGGATTTGAGATGGGAAGGGGGGGGGGGGGAAGGAATGATGCCCAACCATTTGGACGGTCGCCGACCTGCATGAAGCAAGACCATCGCTCTTCCATCCAGCCCAAGTGGTTATCATTAGTCGAGCCCCAGGCCGGGCTCGGGGGATTGGAGCTCCCGAAACCCTGTCCAGATATGCTCCAGGACGATGCATTTAGACAGGTGCGATTCGAGCAGAGGACGTGAACGAAGCGTTGCTTGAGAAAAGTACATAAGTCATAAGCTGTGTTGTGTCTAAAATATTTATCATTCATAAACTGGGGGTTTGGCGGGTGGATTAACGAACATTTGGCCTTTGTTGGTGAGGATGGGTTGGAATCGACTATGGTAACGAATGTGACGAGGATTCAGTAGGAAAATAATTGATGTTCCAAAAAATAATATTACGAACCAAGAGTTGTTATTCAACATCAACTTAAGTAGCCTATCCATAGAAACTGACTTATTTAGTAAGTTTTGTATTTAATGTTAGTCTACAGCCAACATTATATTAGGTATAGAGTGAAGCTGGAGCCAACTGCGTGGCAGCCTTCATGTGGCGAGTTGACTTGATTTCACGAATAACGTACTTGTTGAGATCACATGTTCCAAATGGGAGTCAGGCAAGGACTGAATGATCACAGATAGTCATTCGTTAGTGATAGTCAGAGAGAGGCTCTATTGACTGAGATTCAGTAGTTCGTAAGTAGGCAAATCAGTAAGGTTCATAATCTCGACATTATTTAACAAGTATGGTTTCATTCACCAATTGAATAGGTGTTTTAATTTGTTTTACACTGAAAACTAACAATCGTTGCTTTTTATTTCAATGTTAAACTGACAATGGCCTTGTAAGCGCTTCGTAGTATTCGCATTGGGTTAGGCACAATTTTCTTTCCGTTCCCTCGGGTGCTTTTTTATCGTGCTTATCATTATACTTGAGAACGGTTGAGTTCCATGGGGTGTATCCACGGCCTCTCCTGACTGGCCTTGGGCGCCACCTGCACCCCGTTCTGCACCGCCCAGTCAATAGGTCACCCCTTTTACATATGCCACGCGTGTCTGTCCACTGGATCTCCCTTCTCTCATCTCCCCCTCCTGTCTCCTCTTTCTTTCCTCTTTCTTCCCTCTTTGTCCCCTTTCTCTCCCCTGTCTCCTCTCTCATTCCTCTTACCTGCACAGTAACTTCAGAATTCCTAGGCTGTCGGGTTTTAAACTACATCCCTTGTGAGCAAGTGACTAGATCAACTTACCAGCCAATATACTTTGAGGGTGGGGGAGTCCGATGGTTCATAGAAATATGAATTAAAATTGTTTAATTTTGCCCCTAAG